TCAGCAGACAGCAAGAAGCCTCCCAGATCTCCAGATGCATTTGAGATATCAAAAAAGTACTCCAGAGTGTTGTTCCGCATGGGGGTGAGTAGAAAATGAAAGCTAATCATGTTTTGGGTGTACTATTCCTTTAAGTTTTAAAACAGCTTTTTGTAAAACAGGCTGATAGACTTACTGTTGTAGTAAGAGAACTGCAGGTAGTTGAAGATAGAAGGCAGGAAGTCCTCAAAAGGACGCTCTCTGCCAGCTGCAGTGGCCAGCTCCACAGAGCAGTGCTGCTTGCAGTTCAGCAGCTGCAAGTAATGATCTGACAAAGACATGAATATATATATATATATATAACTCATAGCTGCAGTGACGTATTTAATATCTCTCTGACAGACGGCATTGCCTCACCTGTCATGGCTTGAAACAGGTCTGCGCTGTACTCCATGTAAGAGTATCCATCAAACCGGTACCCCCCCTCACACAAAACCCTGCACTCCTTGTTGGCAACAAAGTACTCATCCAAGGCCCTCTCAAAGTGTTCGGCTGCCAATTGGAACGAGTCGTCACTATAGAAGCTTTTTCCCATCAGAAACTCAGCCTGAGAAAACAGGATGTATTAATTTTCTACCTTCATATATTTTTCTACCGCTTTAATTGAATGTGTGATTTAGCAAAGCGACTCGTATTGCTAAGATCAGAAAGGACGGAAACAGCGTCTCACCATATGTGGCTTCATTTCCAGATCTTTGAAGTTCTCCTCTTGTACTCTGGCCATCATCCTGTAGTACTCCAGGTTCTGCTTCATCTCTATATGATCAGGGTTGGCCTGGAAGAAGGTGTGTGCAGCTGCCACCGCCTTGTCCAGTTTATTGATCTTAAAACAAATAAAACCGTTCAGTTTATTACAGCTGCCAGGCATTTTCTGTACAACTAGAATATAGTTTTCCACACTTTCACACTAATTATAGAAATTCAGATGATTTAATTTGCAAGAAGTAGGATCATCAATACTAAAACAGCTCTTAAAATATCAATCCTTCAGAGATTAAATTAACTCTTTCTCACCCTTGGAAATGTTTTATGTCGTATATTGATACATTAAAAACAGCTTTGAGTTGCAAAACATTATATTTAAATGTTTTATTCATGCTTTTGTCATCATTGTTCCTGTTCCAAAATGACCCAATCACTTCAAATTGCAAAGAATCATGGGAAATCATGGACAAACCTGAACCAGACTTCAAAGGCATTTAAAGGAATAGTACACCCAAAACATGATTAGCCTTCATTTTCTACTCACCCCCATGCTGAATAACACTCTTTCTCAGTTCTCTAAAAGCGCGCGCCTGCGAGTTCACGACGCTACGGAAACCGTGGCAGACCAAACCATACGAAAGTGCGCATTCAGCTTCTGCTCTGCCAAT